CACTGACCTAGAGACACATAATGAAAACTACCCTATAATTATTACAAAAACACAAAATAAGTATTATTTGTGTACAAGCTGTTTAGATGGTCAAAAAGCCTGTGTTTTTAGGGTTATCAATGAAGTTCGTGTACTCAGACCAGTAATTTTGGGGTCACAAGTTTTTGCCATGGATATTTTGTGGGTCAGAAGATAAAAAGTTTGGGAACCACTGACCTAGAGACACATAATGAAAACTACCCTGGATTTGAAAATTAAAGATGGCCACCACAGCTAGATTTAAATGGCTGTAATTCAGCCATTAAATTCACAGATGAAAATGTATATAGTATTAGACAAGAACAATCTGTAACAAAATCTGAAAGTAAACACAAAATCCAACATGGCCACCATCAATTAGTCGGACCTCAGCCATTTTTGAGAAATACAGAGCTGAAATGTGGTAGCCTAAAGCAGAGGTCCCCAAACTTTGTAGCTTTTGACCCACAAAACACCAGCAGCAGAGACCTGAGCCCCCAGCTGTTGTTGGTTGATAAACATGGTTTTCACATCAAATAAACAAGAGCRTAGTAACATTATTTATCATGCTATTTTTGTCCATTTTAAGCACACCAACTTTACTCCTTTGTAACAACAAAGGCAAAAAAAATTGTTAGTTGTAATTTTTTAGTGCAATTAATTCAGAAAATCTTTTCAGGACCCCACCTTGATGTTTCAGGACCCCAAAGTGAGTCCTGACCCCAACTTTGGGAACCACTGGCCTAAAGCAATCCCCATGTCAATTTGAAAATTCAATGTAAGGCTTTTTAGGCTCAGTTATATTTCAAATGGCTACAATTCTATATTTTATACTTATTATAGTGAAATTAGTTGAGGTGGAATTGTTGCTTTTATATTAATTCAGTGGTTTAGAAAAGTTATTTTTTCTTCACACTGATAGAGTCCGTCTACACTAGATAACACAGCTGCTTCATAGAWATTTACTTTGTTTTAACTCTAACTGACCATCTTTTATTGCCCCACGTGTCAATCATTTGGGGGTGTGGCCYGTTGATCAGGTGCCACCCCTCTGCCTCCCCTGGGCTTATTTATTAACAATAACACACAGTGTAAACTGTTACAGAGCACAATAACAAATACATTTAGGATGAGTACTCAGCTGTCCTCTGTTTTGTTTGTCCAGAGGTCAGCGGAGGCTACTTTAAGGAGTACCAAAAGGAGGGCTCCATCTCCTCCTCCTGGTGCACACACAGCAGAGGAGCAGAGCGCACACACTGACACTGGAGGTAAGATGTGACAGAAGCACAACTTTAAACTCATTACATTTTAATCCCTGACATCCAGCACACCCACCCTGTCTGAGTGGTCCATGCTTCCCTCTAGTGGTTCCTGTCTGAAACTACAGATCAGATGTGATCTTATTGCAAATGTGTAGAAATCAAACAGCTTCTGAGGACTAAAGTTTCAGTCTTGACCGCCTCACTCTGTGCTTCATGACGTTTAATTGAAAACTAAAATGTCTGCAAATGGAATCAAACGGATTCAGTGCAAAATGTAGCTTTTTTTATGGAAATGAACTGTTTGAGCTGGTTCAGGGCAGTCAGAGCCATCCTCTGCCTTGTCCTCAGATAAATCCTTCTTTTGTCTGATCTGCTGCTCCTTTTTATTGACTCCTCTCACAGACTTGATCTGACAGCTGATGGTTTATATTGTTACAGACAGAATATCAGGGATATGAACTCATGTAGAAACATCTGACTGAGGAACTCAGCCAATTAGCAGCCTGGTTGTTCACTCAGCATTTTGTCACTCCTCCGCTGTTTTCTTTACAAACTGATGACATGAAACTGCTGAGCTGGTTCAAAACAAACTCCCACTCTTACAAAGTCTAAAGGTTCAAGTTTCCTTCGTTTCACATCGACTTTACTGAGTTTTAAAATTCATAGAACCTTATTTACAGATCCTTACAAATATCTGTGACCTCCTTGATTTCCTCGGCTGAGTATCAGCTCAGGAGGAGTTCTAGGATCTGGGTTCCTGAGTGATGGATCAACAGACCAAAAAAAAARAAAAAACAAGTCCTGGATCCAAGAGGCTGTAATTACCTTCTTCAGGGAGAGGCTGGGCTCAGACTTAAGAGAKGTGCTGAGGAGGTCTGTCATCAGGAGATGATTTCACAGTGCTCCATTTTATCAGAGAGCTTCAGTTTCTACTTTGTCTATTTTCAGTTGTCTTCTTACTGGTTAAATGTTAAATGTTAGAGCGTTGACAGAGAGGAGAAGGTAGAAATGACTCAGCCTAAAACTGAAAGTATAGATGGAGGACAACAGAGCTGCTTCATGGAAGAAGAACCTCAGCTTAGCCTGTTAGCTTTTGCACTAGCACCAACACTGTATTGCCTTATATGTATTAGCTTGGTGCTAGCGCAACAAACAGGCTAAACTGAGGTCCTCCATCTTTATTTTCAGTTCCAGGCTGAGTCATTTCTACCTTCTCCTCTCTGTCAATGCTCTCTGGTTTCATTTAAGACAGTCGATCATCAGATATTGTCCAAGATTAACCTTCAAGGATATAACTTGCCTTGAGGACCTATCCACGTCATCATTTACTCAGAATGTTTTGCATGTTAATAAAATGGCTCCGTCCGTGCAATAAATTTTTTAACTTTTAGTTTAAAGATGATAAAAACTAAACAGCCTACCGTATTTTACAGTCTTTATTTTACAGTTAAAGTATACAGT